CTTCCATCTCCCACCTCCGTTATAAGTTGGACTTAGTATCTATATGGGTTTCCCTGCCGTCTGAAAGTTTGCTTCATATCATTTCGCTTTTACCAAAGACCTTCATTAGTAACTTTTTTCTCGAACTGGAAGAAATCCAAAGAGCATTTTCACTCTCACAAAATGGTAATTACTTGGCTGTACATTTTTTCAGCTTAGGAACGCTCTACTTTCAGACAGTGGGAAATTCTGTACTACCTGTTACATGTACACGCTTCAGGAGCAAGTTGCTATGATATTTACTAGTTAGAAACATTTTTGGAAAATCAAAGAAAGAAACAGTGGGACACACATTGTTTGATTGAACAGATATTTATTTATGCCCAGCTACCCATCTCTCAATCCCGGAAGGCAAAGGGAGATGTCGGACAATAAGATAAGGAACGTAACCTTTGCCTTTTAACACAAGAACTAATAGAAGTTGAAGTTGGCCTTTCTAGGTCTAAAGTTCTCTGAGGGCCAGTGTTGTGTCCCTGTAGGTTCTAGTACAGTGCACGTGCCACACAGCACTCAAATATGCTGGATGAATAAGGGCCCCGTGTGTTAAATCCCCATGTTGCCACCTCCCTGTCTGTCCTTAACAAGATTCATCTAGTTTTCAGAGCTAGCCGGCAGTTTTCTAACCCCTGTTCAAACTAAAAGAACTACAAATAGATATAAATGGTAAACCATGTGCTTTGGAAAGTGGGTAGAAAACAGCACACTGACTTAAATTGTCAGTTTTTAATCCCACCTTCTTAAAACGTTAAGATCTCCAGCAAAGAAAATAATTTACTGTCAAAGTTACAAATATATCTAAATAGTTACATGGTTCTCAAGAGTTGAACACTGTGGTTTTTAATGTATTTTTAGTGACCCTCTTGTAATTACAGTAAAACCTTGGTTTGCGAGCATAATTCATCCCAGAAACATGCTTATAAGCCAAAGCTATATCAAAGCGAATTTCCAGAGCCACTGGCTCAGTTGGGATCATGTGATGTTCGGCATCATGTACTACTCCTATCACAAGACGTCGCTCGTTTATCAAGTTAAAATTTATTAGAAATGTTTGCTCATCTTGTGGAACACAGAACAAGTTTCTTGCAGTCCAAGGTTTTACTGGTACTAAATTGCATTAGAGAACACATCTAAACCTTGAATTGGGACCACTGTTTGGGACAATTTTATACACACATTGCTGGCCGACTAAATCCGTTTTAGCTAGCAACACAGAGCATATAAATAATGCAAGTGGTAGGCTGCTGTCACCTTTCTAACCTGACACGTCATCTCTGCTACCGTTCACAGAACACGGTGCTGATTGTCGGGAGTTCATAGTATAAACCCTTTGTTTGTTTGTTTGGGGTCTACCTTGAGTTCCTGAACCCCAATCCTGGGGCCAGCCGATCTTCGCAGAATAAGAGACTGTCCGTGGAACTCCATCACCACCCATATGAAAGGACTTTATATGTCACCGAAATAGGAGGCCTGTTGTGCAGAAGTGTGGATCAGCCCATTTCCAGGCATGTGCACACAGCATCTGATACATAACCCGTTTACCCCTGATGCCTTAAAAGGTTTCAGAGTAAGACCCAAGGACTCATCCATGAGCTGAAATCAGAGCTTAATTACAGGTAATTAAGTCAACTGATACTTGAACATCTGTAAGTGGCAGGCACTGTGCTAAGCACTGGGGACGCTGCCGTGAGCAAGACCCGATTGGCGCCTATGGTTAGACAACCTTCACTTTAGACGATTAGACCCTGAAGAAGGAAGTAGACGCAGGTTGGTCAAAGGTGAGGCCTAGAAGAACCTGAGGGGCCTGGTGTTGATCAAAGAGAAAATGAGATCCTGATGAGCGGGGAGTGCACCATTTTCTGCCTCTGCAGCACTGGCTGTTCTATTTCCCGAACAGGCACCTGTTCTCAGCCCCACAGCCCTTGCCTAACCAGCTGTCCGCCGCTGTGCTCCCTGTTCCTCCAGCCCTGCCCGCCCCTCCCTCCCAGCTCCGTACTGTCTGAAGTCTAGCTTTGCTAACGTGTAATGGGTGGTTGGATGACGCCCTGTGTCATAGGTCTCATCATGGAAAGAGGGGTAGCTGTGAGGAATCTGCAGTGGAGAGGTGATGGCACCACAGAGGTGGAAGAAGGATTAGAAACTCCGGCTGAGGCTCCATCGGTGAGGACTGAAGGAGACAACAGAAACGGAGGGGGAAGAAATTCACAGATTATACACAACAGGATGCTAGAAGCCAGGATCACCAAGTCCTTCCTCAGCGAGTCTGCACTAACTTGTTACTCGGGGTTTACTGGCTGGCTCTCTTCTAAAGAGTTCGGGGTGCTTTTAATGCAAGAACTAACTCTCCTCCAGCTTTTCCCAGACACCACAGCCCAAACCGCTGCAGGGAAGCAACATCCTTCTACGAAGCATCCTGAACAGAGCATTCGTTCTGCTACCAGACCCGGTTTGGAACAGCTTGCCACCTTCTGTCTCCCCATCTACTGCCAACCCATTATTCACCCATTTTTCTCTTTACAAAGCATTTCTTTCCTGAGTTTTCTCCAGCCTTTATCTGGTTCAGCACCTCATCCCACCCAGATTTGGGGCACCTGGTGACAAGTGACAAAACTCCGAGGACACCAGAGTTTCAAGTAAGGGAGAGTAGGTCTGACCCTCCCCACAGATGGCTCACCTTGTTCAGGCAAATATGCCCCCAATGGTAGAAGCTAAGATGATCGCAAGGATGATACAGCAGATCATGATCATGATCTTCTTCTGCTCGTCCACACAAGGAAAGAAAAAGCATGTGAGCAACAGCCTCCACGTGCAGACACAGCCACAAAAGAAGGGAGACAAAAGCGGATCCGGGCACGGTGGGGGATGAGAAGGGAAAGGAAGATGGATCTGGCTTCTAGAACCCAGGGTGTTAACAGAAGCATTGCTTTCGGGGACAGATTCAAAATTAGATCAACAGCAATCTCCAGGGATGTTTGGTATGTCTCTGCCTTCTAGATCCCATCCCGTCGCACCAGAGTTCTCCTGTCTCCTGGAGCCAGATACTCATGACGAGTGAACCAAATTATGGTGGGCAGGGAGCAGCTTAAATCTGAAACTCAAATACAGTTACATTTCATTCTTTGAGAGGTACACCATCTTCAAAATCTGGGACTTTTGGTCCATCTGGTCCAGCACATGGTTGAAAAAGATTTTAACCCCTTTCCAAAGCCTAAACAAAAACCACCACGTGGTGGCATCCGGCCACTGTTTTGCAGGGAAAGAGAGGCAGAACTGTTTCACAATCAATATAAAGTCATTTATTTTTAAATTATCAATAAAATAATCAACTTTACATTAAAAAAAAAAAAATACAACAACAACAAAAAACCCCTTCACTTGTATTAAACTAAGCCCCAGGCCTCAACAAAGGCCTGTGATTAGAGCTTGTCTGCCCTAGTTGCTGGAGCCAGTCCGCTGTTCGACTTCATAGCCACGGGCAAGAGGGCATCCCCTTGGCTCTGTCTGAGTGCTGGGCAATGACGGAGTAAGTAGCCTTTGCAGAGGAAGCCAAGGGGCTGTGCCTGCATTCGGGTGCTCTCCCTATCCTAGAAAGTCAAGGCTGAAATATAAATCAGGGAGACTGGCAGGGACTGGGAATCTAAGGGGCACCATCACTAGAAAATTACCTGGCTGTTGCTTCCCTCCATGACAAGAACTGGGGGAGACCAAGAACCTGTCAAGCTTGTCAACCTGGTAGTGGACGAATTACTCGGCAGTCCCTGATCTCCCCCAACTGACTCAGCCCTGACAACAGGATCATCCAAAGGCCACATGAATGATCTCAGATTGCTATGGGATATTCTCAGGACAAGCCTCATCAATGCACTGGTGGGAAGAGGTACCAAAACTTGTCACACCTTCTGTCTGCTAAGCAGAATAACTTAACGGGGTCAACTTAGTCCCTACCCCAGAGATCCATGATCGTCCCAGTACTCATCCATAAAACAAGGTTTCTAAATGACACGGGAAGATATTTCTACTCTGATTCATTTGCAGATAAGCAAATGTCTCTTACCTAATTTTTAGCCTAGCTCAAGGTTATTTTTTTTTTTTTGAGGTTATAATATCCTCCATTTGTAGTTTCCTACTTCCTGAGAGACATGGGCATATATGTATATATATATATATCTCACACACATGGTTATAAAAATACATCTGGAATACATGAAATGAGTGACTGTATATTCGCACCAGTCTTGATCATTTCCAGAGCCTGAGACTCAAGCACCTGTCCCTGGCCCAATTTTAAGTGCCTGGTTATTTCTGGCCTCAAGGCAATGGCTTCACAAAGCTTCACTCCAATGGAGAACAGCCAGTTTCCAAGAGTTCGATATGGGAAACAAATATCCCATACCCTTAACCTTTACAAATGGTAACCTCATCGTGGATCATCTAGGATCATCATGGTGCCCCCTTGAGTAAACACGAGAGATTATGACATAAAGATTGAAGTTGGTCACCAAGCTGAACATACTAAGAGCTTAATTTAAGATTGAATTTCAAATAAGTCAGCTTCTAAGACCAAAACGACATCTGCCAGTTCCTCATATTTTCAAGATGTGGGGACAAGAAATTGTAAGGACTGAGATCCTGCCAAGTGGAAGGCTCAAGTCAAGTCTTATTGTTGCCACACTTGGAAGAATCCCTTTGCTTTGTTAAAAATGCCCCCCCTAAAAAAATACACTGCAATTTCTGGGAGAATACTCCATGAGGTAGAAAATACAGCACCTTGAGAAGGTTTTGAATAGGCTTTCCAAGGTGCAAGGCATAATTTGACACATTCAGAGGAAAGAAAGAGAAGCTGGGGTGGTTTGCACAGTCCAGGAGAGAAGGCACTTCAGAGTTGGGGCAGGAGAAGGTTTTGAGGAGAACTCAGGGTCGCATCAGGTAGATTAGCTTCATCCGGGCTAAACTGTTTGCTGGGTCAGGTCCAAGGAAGGTTACAAGGAGACAAGGGGACAGGTCCCACTCTCTCAGGAAGGCCATTCAAACTCCATTCCCGTCTGAAGACAAGGGTGGCCACACCAGGCTGGAGTGAAATCGGGTTCTAAGAGAGGCAGGGGAAGGAGGAGCTGATCAGTGCACAGGATGATGGTGGAGAGCAACATTCAGACTCGGTCACAAACCTAGAAGGTGGAGACGAAAAATCAGACAAAACTGCAAAAAGGAGGGCAATGGTGAAGTCAACACGAAACCTGAGAAATCCGGTAGACAAACCGCTGAGACGGGACATGGGACTAAATCTCCTATTGTAAAAGAATCAAAAAGCCGTATTATGCAAGGGAAAAATAAACCTCTGGGCCTTTTATAATCTTTCACACAGGCTGTCACATTCCCATCAAAGGACTTGCCAGAGGGAGGCCAAGTCACTCCATGAAAACACCTGTTCTATCTACAGGGCCCTCATTAGCACCTTTCAGATACAAGTTCCAGAACTTGAATCTTCTTCTCCATTACTCCCCTACTCCCCACTTGTCTTACACAGTGAAAAGAACAAAGAGAAATTCAGGGGTCATCGTGGCTGTTCCATCTGAAGAGCTGGGTAGGCTTGGTGAGTTTCCTAACTTCTCTGAGCTTCAGAGTTTCCCATCTGAAAATGGGGATAATGTTACTATCCTAGAACAGTACCTGGCACACAGTTGGGGAATATAAACATAGGCTGTCTTCCCTCCCTCCTGCCCAGAGACCTCTTGTCTTCAGGCCACATGGATGGGGGGAGGGTGTCCAGACCTAAGCAGCAGCCAGTCCCGACTTTATGGAATACACTACAATAAGCAACCCGACACTGCTCAGCAATGCAGATAAGTCAACTAAACACAATACGTGAGCTAGTCTCCCCCTTTAAAAAGGATTCATTTACGTTCTCAAGATGAAGTTGATGTTTAGTGCTATAACCATCTCTCTTCAAGATCCTGTGGTCACACCTCACAAGGGGTCTCGAGACCCCTTTGAGACCCACTGAAGCCAAAATAAAGAAGAGGGTCGGCTCTGGGTGCCAACATGGAGGTACGTGTCAGGTATTTAAAAGATTGGTATCTAGTACCTCAGCAACCCAACTTCTCTGAATTCATCAAAGAGAAAATAGAAATGAGAGAAATAGAGGTTTGTCATACTGTTAGTTGTCGCTAAGTAGTAATAACAAACCTCCAACTTTGGGGAAATAATAACAAATTGAGAGTGTATTCACAATCTTGTGTTGAAAATTAGATTTGCGGAGAGATCTCAGTGATGCGGAATGAGGCATACGATTTTTTAACTGGATCTAAAACCAGAGATAATACGGTCTAAGCCGTGCGAAACCACGTCTGAACGTGTACGTGCCAGAAGGCTATGAGCAATAACACTAAAAGTTCATTCTGTTCACCTTTTCTGTTTTATAGGGTTTGTTTGTTTGTTTGTTTGTTTTTAACAATACATCCTACATTTTATTCAGAAAAGTAATATTTAAGAAGTCACAGAAGTGTTAACAGTCCCAACAACGAGATCATTGTTGTTATATGGCCACTATGGACATGAAGCCCTGATGCAGTGGTCAGTTCTATTCTTTCTACCAGACTTTAAAGAAATTAATGTCCTAGACTTTAGACTAACTATCCTCCAAGGCTCTCTGGACTTTGAAGATGACGAAGAATGGATACCTGGTTTTACAAATGAAGCGAAGATGCCGTAGAGAACCTCCCCCCAGGCCCATCGTCAGCTGTGTGTTCACACCTGGCCCTGGCACTTCATATCTCTTCAAGCCTGAGTGTCTTCGTCCATAAAATAATGGGTAACGATAGTACCTACGTCAGGAGGATGTTATGTGGATTCAAGGATGTGTGTGTAAGGTGTTCAATACATGGTCTGGCACAACTCAACACTCAGAAATGTTAACCGCTATATCATTCAAGATCCAACTGGTCAGTCAGACAAAACCCCGCTGCCCCAAACCCCATTCCAAGGCTTTGTTTACACTGAAAAGCATATGGAAAGCAAAGCCCAACATCCATGAGAGTCAGCAAGAATTCAGAAGATAAAACCTGGATCCAGGACACAGATGGCACCCAATTAGGAGCATGCTTGCTGAGCAAAGGGAGCGAAAATGTGGTGCTCGAATGTGTCAGGACAGGTGGTAAGACAAAGAGCTGGGACAGAATCCGCAGGAGAGGAAACCAACAGGAGCCCAGCCCAGAAGAGAACTTTTCCCAGGGACCAGAACGCCAGAACAGAATTTTAAGGAGACAAAAGAATGCACAGGCAATTGGAAGTTTGGGAGAGCTCAGTGCGTCCAAGGACAGTCACAAGGGGCAAGCGGTGCCAAGTGAAATCCCAGGCCACTTTCTCAAGAGGGAGCCAATCCAGAGTCCCCGAGAACCTTCCATTTACTTACATTTCAGTGCAGCAGCCACTCAGGCCACTGTTATTTCAGCCCAACGGAAAGTCCAATAATCAACGCTAAAATGCCCAGCAACACAACTACTAGCACAATGATAATTATCAATTTCTGGAGAGAAGGATAAGAGAAACAAAACAAAGCATTATTACAAACAACCCAAAACAGTAATCCATCCAAAACCCAACCCATCTCACCTCTCCGTTGAAAGCATCTTATCAATCCAAATAAGAAGGCTACATCTCTACATAAAGACCTTCTATTAGGATATTTTATATTTCTTAAATTACTTCCTGGCTGGCAAGGCCAGCAGATGGAAATATGGAGCTGCTCTCAGCTCACACTGCAGTCTTGGACATGTGCACAGATAAAAACAACAACAACAACAACAACTGTCTCCAAGCAGCTATAGGCCAAGGTATGACGTGACCAGTTTTTCCTTTTCAAGAAGTGTATGTTTTTGAATAGACCTAATTTCAAACTTCCATCCGTCTTTCCCCTAAAGCACATGCCTGCCCATCAGACCTGATCCAGTGACTGGGGATCAGAAAGCGTGATTACAGTCCTGTTGTGAGCCAGCCTCGATTCATCATGTAAAATAACTTCCCAGCTCCCTGAATCCTTGCACAAGCAATAGGTAAAGTTGGAAGGAAATCAAAGAACTGAAGAACCAAAGTGTCAGAGCCCAGGAGAAAGAGAAAAGAACAGCCTACAAAGCACAAGCTACCAGAGATGGCTACTACAACGGGCAGAGAAGCTGAGAAGTCCTCAAGCAACAGGGGCACTGGAAGAGGGAGAAATGCACTGGTATGGTGGGAACAGCGTGACTGGAATCTGACTTTGAATCCCACTCCTGTACTTACTAGGTGGCCCGAAGCCAACTATTTAACCTCTGACCCTCAGCTGTTTCATGTGTAAGTAGAAATAATAGGTGCTCCATAAGAGAGGAGGTAATGTTACATGGCGATCAGCACAGCACTGGGTTCATGGCAGAGAGAAGGGGGTGGGGGTGGAGCTTGGTTAATGGAGTGGAAGAGGGCAAACAGGTTTCTGAAGAACAGAGGAGTCAAGTGTAACATCTGAAAGGAACAGGAGAAGTCTAGCAGCCACACCGGGGCAACGCGTCCACCCTACAGAACGGCCTCCAAGTATGGGTTCTTGGGTAGAGAGTACGTGAGCCAGATCCATGCAAGAAACACCGGGGGAAGAAGGGCAGCTAGCTACTCTCAGGGACAGGCTGACGTAGGTGTTGGGAGGAGGCCAGGACACAGAGGGAAGGCACGGGCTCAAGGACACGGGTGCGGGTGCGGAGGACCAGAGAGAGGAGAAGCAAGCCAGACCGGTGGGGACTGAGGCGCTCACCCTCCGAGCTTCACTCTGATACTTGACAGCCTTTTTGGTGTCTGCCACAGCCCGTTCCACAAAGCCCACAGACTGGTCCATGTTGTTCTCGATACGGTCAATCATGGCTCCCTTTCCCCGGATGCAAGAGGTGGTGGCAGCAGAAACAGAGACAGGGACAGAGAAGAGAGAAAGAGCGAGAGACCGCGAGCAGAATGGACTTTCTTCTCTGAAGGCAGTGGGACAGTCTCACCTTCCGGGCCTGACCCTGGTACTTCACGGCTCTTTTAGTTTCTTCCCGTGCCTTCTCCACATGGTCCACTGTGTGCATGACATTCAGCTCTATGTTATCTAGCATCTCTCCCTGAGAAGAACGGACATGAGTCACGCCCCATAAACCCACCCCAGGACAGTCCTAGCTCACGTGGGGGAGGGAAGCATCCAGAAACCTTCTGTGGGACACACATTCACATTTCCCATGGGAAGACCTAGGGGTCTCCGGTCCTTGGTGGTGGTCACTCATTCAAGCAACACTCTGAATGACTCCTGTGGAGCAGGTGCTGCCCGGGACACCTGTAGTACACCATCTAGATGCCTGGTAACTATGGATCTCACAGATCCCACCCCCGCCATTTTGTTTTTAACTGAGCATGTGAGGAGAGGAACCAAAATGAGAGTATTTTGGGGCATAACTGGGATGCTGGCCTCTTGCTGGTCATGTAGACCTGAGCCAAGTTCATTTGGCCTGAGGCAAGTTTGCTGACTACTGCTGCAGAACAGTGGTGGCAAAAAATAGTTGCTCAGTAAATATCCAAGGTGGGAATGTTTGCTTTCTCCAAGAGATACTCCCGGGCCCCTTAAGTGACAGATATTGGGTTTACCTAAGCTATTTGGTTACATGTTAGATCGACGTGGCTATGGAGGGACAGTGGTCTCTGAGCGAGATTCCCAACCATCTCTCAGCTGTTACTTCCCGACAGGGAAGTTCAGTGACTCGGATTAATTCTGGGCATCTTAGGATGGGAACGCCCCTCACCTACCTAGACCTTTCCCAACCTGACCCGTTGCTTTACGGCACTCTGTAAACACAGAAAGGCACTCACCATCACTTGACTGTCAAACCAATTCCTCAGCAAGGCCGCGAGGGGAGAAAAAAGAAGAGTGGGGATGGACGACGCACTTAAGGAATGGTCTCAAAGGCCAGAGGGGGCGGAGGAAAGAAAGGCACCTGGGCCCCGAGCAGGGACCGGCCTTCGAAAACCAGCCAAGCAGTGCCCGGGCTTCAGTTACGTTTTGCAGCCCTCCCACAAAGGACGCGGGCCTCCATCCCTTCCAGGTGGCAGGGCAGCTGGAAGTTCATGGTAACACGGCGCATCTGGACACCGTGGTCGCCAGGACCGGTAGGCACCTGACCATGCGTGGAACCAGCGCCACACGCAGGTGTGACAGGCTGGCAGCCTGAGCAAGGACACCCAGGGACAGAATAAACCATCAGACCATGAGTGTTCCAAGTCTTCCTACGAACATTATTCTCCTGTTGCTTTGTTCATTCCCTTATCTGCTCTTGTTCCTTAGCAAAAAGTGCCAAAATATGGGGGGGTGGGGAGGACATACAAAAGAAGACACAAAAATGGACAAAAATTAAACCCTCTGGCAAAGCTAACTTTTCACTGTGAGGTGGCAGAATGACCCTGTCTTCAGTGTCACCAGTGAAACAGTTCGTACCCGGAGGCTGTTCTCAGGCACCCTCACCAAGAACCCACGTCTCCAGTTAGAAGAGAAAACAGGGGGTGCTGAGGCTGGGCCGCATCAAGGCCCCTACTCAGTTTAAGTGACTGTGAGGCCGAAGGAGCAGCAAGAGTGACGGGGCTGACGGGGCACTCGGGGGGGCGTTCCTGGCCTGGACACTGGGATCCTGTTCCTCCATCGTGCGAATTCCCAAGGACTCCCCCACTGCACCCCGGCCGGTGTTCTGGTCCCCCCGCTTCTCGGGAGTGCCTGAGCTTCCCTCCCTCGCCCCACGGGGGTGCCCGCTGCCCGGTTACCTGATTCTCCACCAGCATGGCGATGTCCACGAACATGTCATGCAGCTCCTTGATGCTGCTCTCCAGCCTCACGATGTCCTTGTGCCGCCCCTCGATCTCGCTGAGGGCTTGCTTCGAAATCTGAGAGTCGATGATCTACAACGGGCCACACAAAGGCCTACTGTCAGCCCACGCCCTGGCCAGAGGCCCCCGCCCCCCTGCACCCGCAACCCTGCCCTGGCCAACCACACGGAGCCCCACGGCAGCCTCCCTCGAGAGGAGCATGCACCCCAGCTCCCGGACACTCACCCCAGAAGTGAAGATGGCGGGGTTCCCACTCTCCAACATCTCCTCCAACTCCTCATCTGTGGTCTTTTTGCCGGCTTTAGCACAAAAGAGGTAGAGCGTCAAATGTGAGACCAAAGCACACCGCTGCAAAAGTTCCCTGAAAACCAGGAACGCGGTGACTTCACTCTGAAGACCGTGGCCTCTACAACGCACCCCCGGGAGCCCCTGATCGTCTTGCTTCTGATTTCTCCCCTAATCCAGTCCAGCCTTAGCATTATGGGCGATTACCTTCCTAAAGCACGTATCTGACCACAGCCCTTCCTAGCTCAGAAAGCTGACCGGCCCATTCGCTGTGCCTCAGAGGCCCAGGACCCGGTCCCTGGCCACAAGCCCTCCCTCCTGCACCTGACCCCACACTGCTACTCCCAAGGGTTCCCTCTCCCCAGGCTGGACAACCTGCCACCCCTGCTAAACACATGTGCTTTTCTCGGACCCCTTCCTGGTCCACACCCTTCCTCCACTTAGAGCTGGTGGCACCCTGCAACGCCCTGAGTCCTTGACGGGCACGGCTGTCGGGATCAGTCTATTCCTCGCAGCGCCCGGCACCACACTCTGATCTCATAAAGTTGTTTGCTGTCAAAGAGATGACAAAAAGAGGGGCACCTGGGTGGCTCGGTCCGTTAAGCGTCCGACTCTTGATTTCGGCTCAGATCATGATCAAACGGTATGGGGGTTTGAGCCCCACATCAGGCTCTACACTGACAGCATGGAGCCTGCTTTGGATTCTTTCTCCTTTTCTCCCTGCCCCTCCCCCACTCGTGCTCGCATGCTCTCTCTCTCAAAAATAAACATTAAAAAAGACAGAGAGACAGAGACAACAAAAAGATATCATGAGTCCCTAGGAGACGCCACGAATAAATGCTGGCGCCCACAAGGGCCAGAGGACCAAGCGTGACAAGCACCGTGCCACCCACGACGCTGCCCCAGGGACACCAGTGCCCCAACGCCTCTCCTGGGCTTGAGTGCAAAATATGGGGCGGGGCGGGGGGGCAGCCACTGGCGGGGGTGCTGCCGCTCGCTCCCTGGGGTCTCCCGACTTGGGATGAACAGCCAGGTGGCAGGGAAAGGTGAAAGGACATGCGCCAAACACGTACTGATTTCAAGCTGCCGCTGGATTCGCCCTTTGCTGCGTTCACGGAAGTCCACCTGAGCCTCGTTGTATTTGGTCATCACCTCCACAAACTTCCGGGACAGGACGGAGTGCTGTGGGAACCATGCCAAGTGCGGTAAGCCCCCAGGAGCTGAAGGTCGGGGAGCCCCCACGGCGGCAGAGCCCACGTGCCCAGCCCCGCGTGGCTGTCTTGGCAACACCGGATTTGGAATCAGAGGAGCAGGTATAAGGCTCAAAGTTCCGCTTTCCTCACTCACACCATCGGAAGGGTCCGCCGACCCTTCCAGTTCACCTGCCCTGCTGACCTCGCATGGTAATCATGGGGCCACGGGACAGCCCTGCATCCACACGACTTGCCGCCACCCGGGCTTGCTTCCTAAAGCTGCCAGACTCCCTTCCTGCATCCAACACCTGCCCAAATCCTTGAGTTCTTACCCAACCTGACCTCCCGAACGTCTCCCGCTTCCTGCTCAAAGCATTCGCTCCACAGCACTGGGTGTCTGCGTTCAAATCTTTACCGTAACTTTTATTCCTTGCCCAACTGTCCACATCAAGGCCTACTGGTTTCTCCTGTGCAAAATCACCAGTATTTGTACCCTTTGCAAACGCGTACTACCGGCACGCATATTCAGGCCAGAATCACTGCAGAAGCCCAGCAAGAGACCCACTGGCCTCTCGCCCCATCCCCACTCTGGTCCAGCTTTCGGGAGGTCCCCGGACTATCTCCTAAGAGACTACCAGCTGAAGCAAATGCACACAGGCTACATGATCATATCCAGGTTCCCTAGGCAGGTAGGTATTCAGAGGCCTCTGGACCACAGAGCCACATCCTCTATCAAAACCCCGCAGCCACTCGCCCACAACCAGCTTTTCTCTCCAGACGGGCTGTTCTCTCCATGCCAGCCCCTCCTCCCCGCCCCACCACCGTCACCACCCCTACTGATACTAACACACCCCTCACTCCGCCCCCCCACCCCGGGCCTGTCCACACGCCACTCTTGCCCATCCGAGGCCCAACTCCTCTGGCTGCCCCCAATTCTCCCCAAGCTCTGAGGACGCTGAGGGCACCATCCATTTCACTGTGTTCTCACACTGCCCTCCTGCTGGGTCCTAGGTGATAGCTTCCTTGGGCCACCTGAATATCAGGCCTGTTCTTTAAGGACAAGGATCGTGTCTTCATGACCACCAAAGAGCCTCAGTCCACACTAGACAACTAACGACCGACCATCTTTATAGAGAAGACCTCAGGGAGCACCTGGGTGGCTCAGTCGGTTGAGCATCTGACTTTGGCTCAGGTCACAATCTCATGGTTCTTGAGTTCGAGCCCCGCATCGGGCTCTGTGCTGACAGTTCAGAGCCTGGAGACTGCTTCGGGTTCTGTGTCTCCCTCTCTCTCTGCCCTTCCCCCCCTCGTGCTCTGTCTCTGTCTCTCAAAAATAAAGATTATAGAGAAGACCTCAGTTTCCTCTCCTGTAAAACAGGAGGTGCACTAAATCTGAAGCTGTGCCCTGTGGGAGCGAGTCTTGGGAAGATCTTCGGGGGCCTCCTTAGAGAAGCGGGGGGGCGCTCCGGCCCCTCCCCTACTATAGCCCGGGCAGCTTTCCTTCACCAGTTCTTCGAAAGGAGTCCAAATAAGAATTGTACTTTAGGGCAGCTGGGTGGCTCAGTCAGTTAAGTGTCCGACTTCAGCTCAGGTCATGATCTCACGGTTCGTGGGTCCGAGCCCTGCCTCGGGCTCTGTGCTGACAGCTCAGAGCCTGCTTAGGATTCTCTCTCTCTCCCTCTCTCTTCAAAATAAACATTTAAAAAAATAAAATAAAGTAAAACAAACTAAAGTAAAATGAAACAAACTAAAGTAAAATAAAACTAAAACAAAACAAAACGAAACGAAACAAAATGAAACAAAACAATAAAATAAAATAAAATAAAATAAAATAAAATAAAATAAAATAAAATAAAATACGACTCCACAGCTAAGAACAAAACAATTAAGACCGGACAAGACAAGCGTCAGACCAAGGAAAGTCTTACCTGGGATTTCCGAATCCGAAGGTCTGCCGACGACCGCACGTCATCTTCTTCAATGTGCCTCTCCATACCTGCAGGGCAGAGCAAGGCTATGCCAGCAGCACATTGCCCTCGCCCCCAGGAAGCACGCTGCTCGGTGCCCGGCTCCCCGCGCCTCCTCACACCCAGCGCACCGAGGGGTGCAAGAGACACCTGCGATCTTGAGATGTCAGCTCATGTGTGAGCCGCAGGCCTTCAGGCCACGGCCTTGCCTGTACCAGCTCTCGTCTGACTGTATCTCAGCACAGCGGCTCTCAGCAAGAGTCTCTGTCACCGGGAGACTCGGGCTCACATCCTCGTCCTGCCACCCCCTAGCTGCGGGACTCCAGGGAGGCCACGTTCCCTCTCTTAGTGTTCCTGTTCCCTGGTCTGTAGAACGGAGTAAGGACAATGCCTCCCTCACGGCACCCATGTGCGCAGCAAACGAGAATGTGCACCGTGCTTCGCACTCTCCCCAGCGACTCCTGGAAGCCGCCCCTAACGACCCCCACCTCCACCCGGAAGGACAGGTGTGTGATTTGTTTAGGGGGGAAGAAATATAAATGCTGCCTCCACCCTCTGACCGACAGTCTGCATTCCCAAACCAACTGGGCGAAAATGCTTTGGGGCCCCAGGGGAACTCCGTCTATGACGACGGCCGCACTGAACGAGGGTCTAAACTGAAGGGGTGGGAGGGGGTGGGAGGGCCGTAGACCTGGCCCCCCAAGAAATGTCTGTAGCCGGAAGAATAAGATGTTCTGCACCTAGACAGCGCGGGCATTACTGTTCACATGTACGTAGGGGCTGGGGAAATGGGACCGGTAAAGTCAAGGGACGAAGTGGGAGCGTGGAGTCTCACGGCGACTCGGCCGCCGGAAGCATACACCAGTTCTGCTCTCTTTCACCTACGGCCCTGGTTCCGAGACGGGCAGAATTTCTGGGGCAGTGCCCAAGCCACAGGCTGAGGGGGGACGGGTGTATCATCAGGACGCGTTTCGGTCCAGGAGAGCCAGGCCCCGCGGGTAAGAGGGGGGCAGTAGCAGGGGCCGGCTTGTTCCCTTCTTACTCTTCAGTTTGTTCCGGACGTTGTTGGCTCTTTTCTTGATCTCGGTCGTGAGCTGCTCTAAGTCGTCCTTGGTTTCTGGGTAAAACAAAGACAGACAGAATCAGTCAGCAAGACTCCTGGCTTTGTGAGCTATTCCAGGCAACAGAGGAGGTGGGAGCTTTCTCAGAGCAGTCTTTATTTACTGTGAGGTGTTCCCCAGTCATCTGTCACTGGAGTCACAGACAGCTTATTTAAGGGACATTTGCCAGGCACTCTGTCCCAGACCTATAGAATAAAAACACCCAGGGTTGGAGCCCTACAATCTGTCTTTTTCACAGGCTTTCCCAAGTAATTCTCTGGCACACCAAATTATGAGCTTCCTTTTTGAGGAAATCATCTGGTTTATCATGACGGCTTCAGCTCAAAGGTAGGTGAGGGTTTCATGGGACCTCTGAGGAAAAGGGATTTCGACCAAGGTTCATCGATTTAGGTTCAGACACATATTTATGACATACCTACTATGTGTACGATGCTATTCTAGGATGAATGGAGCAAAGTAAGTATGAGCCATGACTACTCATTGAAGAACCATCCTAGGGGCACCTGGGTGGCTCAGTCAGTTAAGTATCCGACTTTGGCTCAGGTCATGATCTCAGGGTTTGTGAGTTTGAGCCCCATGTCGGGCTCTGCACTGACAGTGTGGAGCCTATTTGGGAGTCTCTGTGTCCCTCCCCTGCTCTCTGCTTTCTCTTTCTCTCTCAAAAATAAACATTGGAAAAAAAAAATCCTTTTGCACCTGCTACAAGCTTAGAACTGAGCTAGATACCCACACATCAGAGAGAAGATATAGATTCTGCCTTCAAGAGGTTCAGGGCCTAATGGGGGACAAGGGACAAATAAATCAGCCATTCTAATGTGCAGTGTGGAGTAGGTGTGAGTTCTGGCCAAGGTGTGCACAGGGTGTTGGTGAAGAGCCTCTAGCACAGTCTGGAGGGATCTGGAAAGGTTTCTAAAGACAGATGATAGTAAGACCGAGTCTTGACGAAGGAGGAAGTGTTCAACAGGCACAAAAGGAGACGAACAGTGGAGTGTCCGGGAGATGGGACCGTATGTAAAAGATGCAAAGAGACAAGAACCATGTGGGGAACAACCGGAGTTGAGTCTGGCTAAAGTGTGGGTGACATGGGGGAGGGTGGCAGGAGAAAAGGGTGCAGAGAAGGGCAGGCCCATGACCGAGACAAGTCCCACGTGCTCTGCTGAAACGTTCCACCTTTAACCTTCAGGCACCAGAGAGTCACTGAACAGTTCAGAGTGAAATGACAGAGCGTCTGGCTCATTCCTTGTCCTTAAGGAACCTAAAATACAGCCTGGAACCCTACTGGAAAAACGTGAAAAAGTTTGCCGGGCTGGCGGTAACAGACGGGACTCTCAGGATGGGAGGGACTGAAGCGAGCCTGACCCATTCTGGAACAGCTCAGGGAAAGAAGATGACCTTGATCTGGCAGGATATGGAAGGGGGCTGGGAAACAGTACCCGCAAAGGCACAGCCATGGGACGGAGATGAGGAACGTGAGAAGCAGGAAGCCTCACCACAGGTCACGAGAGGGACTGGATGGGAGGGGGAGGAGCGTTTGGCCACAAGGATTCAGTGGCCCCGACCGCGAAGAGAAGAGCTGGGCCGGGAGGGAAGGGAAAGAGGACACGACGTGTGCATAGTGTGCAGTGTGGGCCGGACGCTCCCCGCCCCTCCCAGGAGAGAGGAAAACAGGGCTGGCTCAGCCCCAATGCCAAGGGCCATCGCCAGGCAACTCAGCTCCGAGTAAACGCTCACTTGGCTCAGGAATCGGTGCGGACAGGATGATACTGTAGAGTTTCTTAGCCTCCTCCACGTGCTCTGAGATCTTGTCTATGTTGAGCCGAGTCTCCTCGATCTGGAATCAAAAAGACAACAGCCTTTGTTGGGAGAGGAAGAACACAACCACGATTGAGAGGAAAGCTTAGCAGAGGTCTCGGGGGAAACCTGCCCACCTTCGGGGCTCGTGGGGCAATGTGAGGACTAGAAAGTCTTCTGCCGCCCGGGGAGGGCCCCTGGCGTGGCCAGATCAACTAACGTCCAGAGCAGTCACCAAAGACCCACACGCCTTGCTCCCGGAGAGAAACGCGCTGGCCCCCCTGGGATGGGAGGCTGCAGGCCGGAGTCAAGAAGGGCCAGGAAAACCCATGACGACGAGCCGGAGGACGAGGCCCAACACACATTCCCATCAGGCAGACCCGTCAGCCGCCCCCAGATCCAGAAGAGCAGAGAGGGAGGATGGGGGGGAGGGAAAGGGGAGAAGGAAAGAAAAGCAGTGAACGGAGAGAACGGATGTAGAGAGTGGAGCAGAGAAGAGATGGAGACGGAGAAAGACACTAAGCACGGCCGCCTCAGGAGACACGGGAGCCCCCCGCATGTGTTTCTGCTGGAATGCCTCCTACTAGCTGATTCCCTCAGGTGACCAGTCACAGGCCATTTCTGCACACGACTGAGGTTCCTGATCATGCACAGGGTGCACCACAAAATATTTCCTGTGGCGCTTCATTCCCAGAGAGAGCAGGACCACGAGACGCTCACAAGATCACATCACTAAGTGCCACCCCAGCTCCTGCAAGGCATCATGGCCCCTGCTGATGCGGAGCACCAGAGAGGCCTCCTCTGTCCACACCCACCAGGTCTAGCCGCCAGGCTTCCAGAAGGTGGGGCCTGTCAGCACTACGACAGTTAAGAAACCTCATAAAATACCACCCAGTAGGATCTTAACATCAGCAATACCATAAAATGCAACTTGGCGAGTGCTGTCCAGTATGCTTTTCCTCTGGCAAATAATTCACTCGTTTTTGAAATCCTGGTCATTAATCTCCAGATTAAATAGAAAATGGGAAAAACAAAAGTGGACTTCTCTAACCCTCAAATCAGCGCTTTTGCCAACAGAGCTGTGGACTCTGCCCCTCTAGAAATACACCGGTCTTGATGAACTGCAGTTTGAGAGTGGAATCACTTGCTAAAAGATATAGACTAAGGGGCGCCTGGGTGGCTCAGTCGGTTAAGCGTCCGACTTCGGCTCGGGTCATGATCTCGCCGTTTGTGGGTTCGAGCCCCGCGTCGGGCTCTGTGCTGACAGCTCGGAGCCTGGAGCCTGCTTCGGATTCTGTGTCTCCCTCTCTCTCTCTGCCCCACCCCTGCTCACACTCTGTCTCTCTCAAGAATAAACAAACATTAAAAAAAAAAAAAAAGATGTAGAATAAAACGTCAATGTAATCGTATCATCAGGGTATAAATCCAAACCCTAGGGGCGCCTGGGTGGCTCAGTCGGTTGAGCGGCCGACTTCGGCTCAGGTCACGATCTCACAGTCCGTGAGTTCGAGCCCCGCATCAGGCTCTGTGCTGACAGCTCGGAGCCTGTTTTGGATTCTGTGTCTCCCTCTCTCTGACCCTCCCCCGTTCATGCTCTGTCTCTCTCTGTCTCAAAAATAAATAAACGTTAAAAAAAAAAAAATTAAAAAAAAAAAATCCAAACCCTAGTAGCTACCCACACTTCTGTGAAGCACTTTAACAGCTGGCAAACCATCCATGGTAGCGCGGAGGACCATCATTCACACGAAGAACGTAAAGGTTAAAGAGGTCATAGGTCACAGGTGATGGTTGGGTGGGTGCTCAAACACGGATGTTTGGATGCTGGAGCTCTCCAGACTCCAACTGGGATGCTCTCTGCTTTACATCTAAGACTTGATCTTTTGACTTTTTGTTCTGTTCCACTTCTAGCAGAATCCCAGACCTACCCATCTCCACAAAGGGCCCATGCTACCACTTGGGAATGCTGACGGGCTCCAGAGGTGTAGCCACCTCAGACTCAGGCCCTTGGGTGAAGCCAGAAATTGCCACCTTACCCTTCCCTTCATCTCTCACATCAAAACCATGTTCATCAAACCACATTCCCATTTCCATCTCCTGACTGTCTTGCCAAAGGAATTTCACTACATCAAACAGGACTGAGAAAAAAGGCTCTCTAGGATAAAATACACAAACCACTTTAAAAAGGGTTTAATAGGGGCGCCTGGGTGGTGCAGGTCATGATCCGTGGTTTGTGGGTTCGAGCCCCCCGTCGGGCTCTGTGCTGATGGCTCGGAGCCTGGAGCCTGCTTCTGATATCGTGTCTCCTTCTGTCTCTGCTGCTCCCCCACTCGTGCTCTGTCTCTCAAAATCAAAAAATAAATAACATTTAAAAATAAAAAGGGTTGGGGCGCCTGGGTGGCGCAGTCAGTTAAGCGTCCGACTTCAACCAGGTCACGATCTCACGGTCCGTGAGTTCGAGCCCCGCGTCCGGCTCTGGGCTGATGGCTCAGAGCCTGGAGCCTGTTTCTGATTCTGTGTCTCCCTCTCTCTCTGCCCCTTGCCCGTTCATGCTCTGTCTCTCTCTGTCCCAAAAATAAATAAACGTTGAAAAAAAAAAAATTAAAAAATAAATAAATAAATAAAAATAAAAAGGGTTTAACACATTTTAATGGTTAACAGACTGTAAGTCCTTGGATTTTGCATGTTCACTGAATTCGCTGTCTTAGAAAATATATTCCGGAATATTATTTCATAAAGTGGAAGAGCATCTAGACCTGAATTTTGGTCAGTGGTAGAAAGACGAGATAGGAAGCTGTCAGCTGCCAGGCCTCAAGTTCAGAGTCACTCCAGACATCTGAAGACTGGGCGGTAGGTGGCCTATGGATGAGAGAGCCGGGCCCTGGCTGCTCCACCCCCAACCTGCCTGTGGGACTTCCCAGCCCGGGGAGCACGGGCACCTGCTCCCACCTCCTCCCTCCTCCACCCAGCGCAGCTGGCTGCCGTCTTCCTCAATCCTCCCCAACCCCACCATCTGGAGGCATTTCAGGGACTCTGATTTAGTATTCCAGTAACTTAGCCAATTCCCCAAATAATCACAGCACCCATCTAAGGACTCCAGGATGGGCAACTGGCCAATCACAAAGCTTTCTTCTTTTTCTGAACTCCGGGTCTTTGTTTTTCCTTGGAAGCGCTGGTCTTGCTCCAAGATGACTTTCTGGGTATTTCATGGTGGCAGCTGCGTGCAATTAATTTCCTGGAGTGCCTTTGCCAGATAACCAAAGAATCATGGCGGGAGGGAGGAACTTAGTATGAGATCTTTTATGAATCTAAAACTCAAGGGCTGTTTGTGTTTCTTCGGGGTTGTTTTAAATATCCTGACATTGCTTTACACAAGGATCTGAACTGATTTAACAAAATACACGTGTCAGAAACAAGTTCCTTCAACAGCACTTCTGTGAGGTTGCCAACCACTAGCTCCTTTTCGTGCCTGAGAATACCGCAGCTCATAGGACAGGAACTCCCTCAAGGACGTGCTTCAGAAAGAGGTAGAACCAGGCATCTGTTGGACACCAAACCCTGTCTCATGAACCAGATATAAAGGCGCAAGGACCACGGATGGGAAGCTCCTCTCTATCTTCTCTCGCGAGTCCCTGCATGCTGAGCCTGTGTCGGGCTAATGCCCACGGTCCACTCCCTGTCTTGTGAGACTGCCTTTCCCTGGGATCACATGCCGTATTCCTTCGTTCTCTAACCAAGGCTCCCTACAAGAGAGCATTATACACCAAGAGCACCCAAGAAACGTTGCTGACTGAGGGAACCAACCAGAAAGTTGTGGTTTTTTAATCACCATGCTCAATTTGCGGCCACTACCTCCTCGGTCAGTGCCCGCTTATTGCAGGTTACATTTTAAAATGTATTTTTCTTTTTTTTTTTAATTTTTTTTTTAACGTTTTATTTATTTTTGAGACAGAGAGAGACAGAGCATGAACGGGGGAGGGGCAGAGAGAGAGGGAGACACAGAATCAGAAGCAGGCTCCAGACTCCGAGTCATCAGCCCAGAGCCTGACGCGGGGCTCGAACTCATGGATCGCGAGATCGTGACCTGGCTGAAGTCAGACGCTTAACCGGCTAAGCCACCCAGGCGCCCCTAAAATGTATTTTTCAATGATTTGTCAGTAATGTGGCCACCCAGGCAGTATAGCTCAGAAAATGTTATAATCAGGGTGCCTGGGAGGCTCTGTCAGTTAATCGTCTGACTCTCGATTTCAGCTCAGGTCATGATCTCTCCATTCATGGGATTGAGCCCCTCATCAGGCTCTGCGCTGACAGTGCAGAGCCTGCTTGGGATTCTCTCTCTCTCTCTCAGAAAATAAAGGAAGGAAGGAAGGAAGGAAGGAAGGAAGGAAGGAAGGAAGGAAGGAAGGAAGAAAGAAAAAGAGAAAGAAGGAAAGAAAGAAAAAAGAAAAGAAAAGAAAAGAAAAGAAAAGAAAAGAAAGAAAGAAAGAAAGAAAGAAAGAAAGAAAGAAAATAAAGAAAAGAGAACAGAAAAGAAAAAAGCAAAGGAAGAAAATGTTAGAATCAAACAGGCCAGGGTCAAGTTTCAGCTCCACCTCCCAGCAGTTTTATGACCTTGAACAATCAATCCGCTCACCCCCCACAAGCCCCCAGCCCTGGTTCTTGCATCTGTGAAACTGAGGATTATCGTATGTCCCACTTCCTAGAGTTAGAAACCTAGATTTCAGACTAAGTTCCCCCTCCTCCCATGATTCTTTGGTTATCTGGCAAATGCACAAAAGAAAACTAATTGCATGTAGCTGCCACCATGAAACACCCAGAAAGTCACCTTAGAGGAAGACCAGTGCTTCCAAAGAAAAACAAAGACACAGAGTATTTTTGTGGGGATAAGATGAGATAATACACATCAAGCACTTAACACAAAGTACGTGCACACTAAGTACGCCAATAATGAGAATCCCAGGAAAGCCAGCAAATGCTGTCCGCTTACTATGTGCCAGGTGTGCCGCTGTGCCTTCACAAGCACGTCTCATTGAAGCCCCACAG